GCTTCTCCTTGGGGGTGTCTTGTAGGAAGTCAATCTTGCAAGCTGAAACAGGGAACTCTAAGGCAGCTGCACCCTGGTGCGACCATCACAAAGCAAGAGACCTGAGAACTAGAAAGGCGAGGCTCACCACCCATTTATACATCCGCCTTTCAATTAGCCCCACATGTGATTATCCGCCAGGCTGGCACAATTAACTAACTCAGTCGTCTTTATTCAGTGTATAACTTTCACACACATGTGAGGCAGTCGAAACTGCCATGGTTTGGGTCAGGAGTACCTTAGTCTTCAGAATCACCTCCATATTTTTCAACACTTTAAGGAGGTCTTGCACAGTAGATTTACCCAATGCAGTGCACCATTCTAATCTCTTGACTGCTGTTTCCATGGGCATTGATTGTGGATCCAAGCAAGACAAAGTCCTTGACAACTTCAATCTTTTCTCTGCTTATTTTTCTCTACTATTTCACCTACTGGCCCAGTTGTGAGGATTTTTGTTTTCCTACATTGAGCTGTAACCGCACTGAAAGCTGCACTCCTTGATCTTCGTCATTCTCTTTCAGCAAGCAAGCTTGTGCCATCTAGCCTTCCTCCAATCCTGATGCCGCACTCTTCTTCACATAACCCAGCTTCTCGGATGGCTTGCTCAGCATGCAGATTGAATGAACAGCAGAGAGGCTCCCAACCCCAATGCACACTGTTCAGGATTTGAAACCATGCAGCATTCCCTTGTTCTGTTTGTACAACTGCCTCTTGATCTGTATACAGGTTCCATATGAGCACAATGAGGTGTTCTAGAATTCCCATTTTCTCAATGCTATCTGTAGTTTGTTTTGTTCCACCTAATCAGATGCTTGCCATAGTTAATAAAACACAAGTAAACATCTTGCTGGTATTCTCGACTATTGGCTAAGATCCATCCGATGTCAGCCCACTTCTGAATGTGGCCTAAGCCCTCTGGCTGCGCACTGTCATTGTACTGCTGAAACCATTGTTGGATGATCTTCAGCAACATTTTACTTGCATCTGATAATTTACACATGCTGTTGGGTCACCCCGCTTTGGAATTGGTACAAATATGCATCTCTTCCACCTTCAGTGGGCCAAATAGATGTCTGTCAAATTTCCTGGCATAGATGGGTGAGTACTCCAGGGCTTCATCGACTGTTGACACATTTCAATTGGTAATCCATCCATTTTTGGAGCCTGTTTTTGGCTAATGCTTCTGGTGCAGCTTGAAGAACTTCATTGCCATTGATTCTTGATCATATTCTGCTTCTTGAAATTGTGGAAGGTCAGCTAGTTCTTTTTAGCATTATATGATGCTTCCAGTATCATTTAATGTTTTGCTTATAGAACCTTTCAGTATTGTCACTCAGGACTTGAGCGTGCTCTTCGTTCTTCCAGGTTACATTTGCTGAGTGTGGGCTTCCTTTTTGGTTTTCTATGCCCTCGCATGTTTCGTTACGATATTTTACTTTGTCTTTTCGATTTGCCC